CACAGGAAGACAGATTATCACAGCAACAGAGGTCTCTTTATTATAGAGTAGATGTACAGTCATGTTGGGCTGCGGACAGATCCCGAGCTCACAACTGCATTACAAAAGGAAAACGGAAGCCGGGACTTGGACCAAACAACACAGGCGCGACTTGGGAACCAGGCCGAAACCCTAAAACTCATCGTAGCCGGCTTGCTCCTGGAAGAACTCATCAGCAGGATCCGCTTCGTCTTCTTCAGTGACTGGGGGGGATTATTTATATAGAGCAAGGGTGAGTATGGGGAGTACTCAGCAAGCCAAGGGAAATAAGTGTTTAATGCAGGCTTCAAGGAAAGGCCGTTGTTTTTGCAATTGATTTTAGTTGAACTCTTTTCTGAAAACAACTAAGTGAGTGCTTCTCAAACGACACGGTTGAGACAGTGCGTCTCGTCCGGTCGGAGTATGTGCAATGTATCAGCCTTTAGACTTGATTCAAGGTTGGCACCCGGCCAACAGCTTTTCAAACGGCCACCCGGGCCTACAACTTTCAAACGGCCACCCGGGCCTAGCTGATCCCATCAGCTGCAGATTTTTCAAACATCGAACCCCTTTCCACAACAGCAATTTCACAAGCAGTAGTCAAACAAAACTACGCTAGGAATCACCTCACATCCGCCCATGACCGTGGGCACGGCTGTTCGAACAGTTTGTTAACCTCTGCAGAGGGGGGGTACACTTTACCCACACGACATTACTAACCCGGATCACCCAGCCCATGGGGATCAGCCACGTCGGGAGACCTCCAAGCTTTCATGACAAGGCATTTCCAAAGCCGATACAGGTTTACCATATGCCGACGAGAGGGGTCCCAGACCAACAACAGGTTAGGTCCCAGACCATACTGTGCCAGGAAGCCCAGGGGTCCTCCCCGACACCACCCCGGCGAATCCACATGTCTCTCGACATCAAGGCTCCCCTGATAAGCTAGTTACTCAGCCAGGGGTGTCCCATTCCACCCATATGGTCGTACTTGTCTTATGTTTGGATGAAATTCCAAGGAATCGGTCCTTAAGTGCGAGAGCGGGAAAACCGTACACCCGGTACGTTCCCCGGTCCGCGGTTTTGGAAATTCATTTAGTTCACAAGCACCGACCCAGGTGTCGGGTTTTCCAAGTCTTTTGTAAAACTCAAGTTTTACCCAAGAAGTTGCTCAGATTTTAAATTTGAAGGCGCCCTTCGGTACTCGCACAGATTGCATGATTTCCGAGGCGCAACTGGGTGGTTACAAGGGAACATGGTATAACAATTAACAAAGGAAGGATCAAATGCAACAAACTAGGTAGATCCGCCAATCTGCCTTGCAGACGGGACAACAGATTAAGTGCGGCCCAAGGGAAAAGGAGCGGACCAGCCGAGCTAAATGGGCCGGCCGGCCCAAGGTGGCCCAAGTGCGCGCGCACGGGAGGGGAGGAGAGAGAGGGCCGGCGGACCGGGCTCACCGTGCGCGGTCCCGGGTAGGACCCGCTTGTCAGCGGCTCGGCTCACCGTGCGGAGGGAGCACGCGGCGCACGCGCGCGGGCGGGGGAGGGACGCGGTGCACGCGCGCGGTCTGCGGAGGAACGGATGCGGCGGGCCCACGCGCAGCCTCACGGCTCGCGGTGGAACGCGCGCACGGGAGGGGCTGACCGGGGTCGGCCCGTCCCAACCTCGGCTGAGCTGGCGCCGACGTGGCGCCTACGTGGCTGCCACGCGGGCCGGCGGGAGGTAGACGACGACGCCGTCCGGGACGGCGGACAACAGCGGCGAGCGGCGGAGCGAACCACGGCGATACCGGCGAAAGCGAGCACACCGGGTGGTTGCACGAGACAAGGGGAGACGAGCCAACGGCTCGGATTCGCCGGAGGAAGCTTGACGGCGGCGAATCGCGGCGGCGGCAACCGGCGGGGAGGGAAGAGGGAAACGGCGACGAGGTCACGAGGGGCCGATTCCCGGCGGTGAGAGCATCTACACGGCCAAGGGAATCCGATGCTAGCGTCGGATTGGGCGGAGCTACGCCGAGCGAGGCTGGCGACGAGCGGGTGCTACGGAGCTCGAGCGGCGATGGCGGCGAGCACACGGCGGGCGACGGCAACGGTCGGGGCGGCGCCGGCTAGCTACGGGGAGGCTACTCGTGCTACCACCGAAAACTAAGGGGGGGAGATGGAGTGAGGAGGAAGAACGGAGGGAGGCATCACCGAGGTGAGGAGAGGCGCTGTGACGAGAGGCCGACGGCGCGGGAGGGATCTCTCCGGCCTCGGGCCGGGGAAGAGGAGGAAGACGAGCGCCCGGAGTCCCCTTCCGCGTCCTAGTGCGCACCGGCTCCTCCGGCACACACGCGACGGCTGCGGTCGGTGAGAGGGACGGCAATGGCGCGGGCGAGAAACAGGGAAGAATGGGAGAAAAGGGAAGGGAGGGCGCTTGGGTTTATAGGGGGCGGCAATGTCGGTTTGGAAACCGACTTTGGCGGTCAAGGCGCGAGCTGGCGCTCCGGCTAGCGGCCAAAACGACGACAGGAGGGAGGGAGGATGACGCCGGTGGGAGGAAAAGGAGAAAAAGGAGGGAGAGAAAGGGGGGCTCGCCCCTTTCTTCTTTGGGAAAAGGGGGAGGGGAGCGGGGGCGTCGCGGCAGAGGGAGGAGGGCTCGGCCTCCGTCCCTTGGCGGCTTGCGCGCGGAGTGGCGGGGCCGAGGCGATGACGACGGCGATGACGGCGAGGCGGTTTGGAGCGGCGCGACGACACGGGCGACAGGCGCGGGCTGGCGCGGCAGAGGGTGACGGCGGCGGCGACCAGATGGTCGGCCACTCGGCACGCGCGCGCGGCTTGCAACGGGAGGGCGCGGCGGATGGAGAGGCGCGGCTCGAGCACGCGCACTGGCTGCGGGGCCGAGCGGCTGCAGGCGCGGCAGGGCAGCGGGGCCGGGCGGCGCAAACGCGACGCGGGCGAGGACCACGCGGGCGCGCGCGCGAACGACGCGCGGGGAGCGGCAGCGAAGGGGCGGAAAGGAGGGCTCGGCTCGGCGCGGGCGGCTCTCGCGCTCGCGCGCGGGATGCGCGGGCGGAGCAGAGGGAGAGGGAGGCACTCGGCGCGGCGGCTCACGCACGCGCGGACAGAGCGGAGGGAGCGGAGGAGGGGCGCTCGGCGCGGCTTGCGCGCTCGCGCATGCAGCGCGCGCGGCGCGCGGGCGGGGCGGAGCGGAGCGGAGGGAGAGGGGGAGAGGGAGCGCGCCGGGGGAGGGGAGGGGGAGATGGGCCGAGAGGGAATCGGCCCATCGACCCCGGGAGAGGCAAAATAGACTTTTGCGGAGGAAAATGATTTGGAAGGATTTGGATTCGGAATTGAACTCGACGATAGATCGGGGATTGAGATCTTGAGATGGCACGGACACTAGACGACAAGCGAAGAAACAAATTTCGCAATTAGGGTTTTTAAGAGATAATTTTCCCGCTAGGCGCCACGACGGAACGGGCGCTACATGGAGAAAGTCCATTTTTCTCCCTCAACTATAGGGCGGTTTTGGGTCGTGTCCATCAATCGTAAAATCAGGTATAAAGACCTCCTCAACCGTTGAAACCAGATCAATTTAACTCCCTAAGCGATGCTAATGGTGAGGTTTCCTCCTCTGTAGTGTTGAGTTTACGAGTCACTTTGGCCTAGTTTTTATATGACGTGGCACTTACCTACCATTCCAATAATAAAATAAAATAAAATGTTAAAAATAGGCAAGACCCAAGGTAAGTCTCCTGGAAAAAAATGGGGTCCTCCCCTCTTATCTCCCTCCTACTCCTCTCTCTCACTCAGCGAGTACAGAGAGAGATTGCCACCGCCACTCCACTACAAGTGTACTCCTCCGTCCAAAAAAAAACTAAACCTAGAAGGGGATGTGACATTTTCTAGTACAACGAATCTGGACAAAGGGCTATCCAAATTCATTATATTAGGAGATGTCACATCCTTGCCTAGATTGTGTTTTTTTGGGACAGAGGGAGTACACAAGAAGGGGAGTATAGGGGAGGGCCTCCATGGATCATCTCCGAGTGGTACATGGCCCTCCGTTTTATGCTACTGCTAGGAGCATGCCTCCTAGGGTGTAACCTCCGCCACTTGGAAGCCAACCCCAGCTCGCCAACCGTCACCAGAGGCATGCCATCGAACCATGCTGCCAGTTGGAATAGAGAGGGCCAAGGAGGGTTGGCTCAGTCCGGAGGAAGAGTCACTCAAGTTCGACGGGGTGATGGCAAGCGTGGTGCTCGAGCTCGAGCGAGATGTTGCCAAGGACTTAAAGGCTCGGGGAGCTGAGGCACCTTGTCATGATGTCGATGGTGCAACTCGACAGAAGGAGTAGCGCGGGGACAGAGCAACTGCTTGGAGGTGGCCATCAAGTCAAGGGAGTATAGTATGGTGTCCAGTTCCCACTAGCACCGTTGTCACCCTCTCCTCCATCACATCCAAAGATGTCGTTGTTGTCCTGGTTAACCACCGTTCGAGACTTCGAGCTCAACTACCAAACCGAACCTCATCACTTCCCTATCTTTGAGAAGATGCCACCACCACACAGGCTGCCTTCACAGTTTGGCGAGGGAACCGAGAGAAAAAAGAGTGGGAAGGGAGGAGAGATGTAGTCACTTACATGTGGACCCTATATTTATTTTGTTAATTTCTTTGATCAACGAAAAGCCACCATAGTTGAGGGAGTCTTGCATCAGCTTTAATAGTGGAAGGGATCGCCAATTTTTTCGGGTTTTACGGTTATGTGATACAAATCAAATCAGATTTGCCCAATAATTGAGCGAGTAAAAACGAACTTTTTCCTACTTTTTGCATCACGCCTGATGATGCGTTTGTGATATTGTGGGCCTCAACCAGGTGCAAGCACTCCCGTCCTGAGTCCATCGACGCATATAATTTTGGCCCGGAACTCCAATTCCATCACATACAATATCGGCCCAGTATGTTTGTGGGCTTCCGGCCCAAATCGCCTTGGGCTGTAGCCTGCGGGTACTCAGGTCTCTGGGGGAGTCAAGGGTTTAACCCGTCCTGCGACGCGGAGCACCGGCCGCCGCTCGCCGACGCAAGACAACGACGATGCCGAGCTTCCCTCCGCCCGGCGCCGTCACCATCTGCGAGATCAACCGCGACCTAGGTGTGCTATCTCCACTCCCTGCTCCCCCTCTCTCTGCTGTCTCCAAGCTCATTCCAAGTCTGTGCGTTGCAGTTGCGGCGGATGCGGTGTCCGACGATCGAGCCAAGGATGCCTACGGGGATGTCCTCGTCAGTACACTCCCATCTTCCCCATTCTTCCTCCGCCTCGCATAATTTCGTCTTTCTTTTTTCATTCACAACACTAATTTTATTAGGCCTCTAATTGAAACTTCAATTTGGGGTTTCCAGGGAATGGTCTTCAGCCCGATTCCTTTCCAGCCGGATGCGATTGTTGCCACCCACGAGCCTCCTGCTGCCACTGAAGCTGCTGAGCCTGCTGAGATTGTCCCCAGAACAAGTTTAGCTTCCACCATAGCTGAGTCCTTCAAACAAATGATCTTCCCTTCATGCGATGTGAGTTGGGTCTTCATCATATCTTACTGGCTCCATGTCTCCATTGCTTGTGTTCATGGTTATATTGCTTTTCTGTCATACATTGACCCATTCTTTTTGTTCACCCAAAATCTACCCACAAGCATATTTTTGTGTGGAAAGTGCTCAGGATAGATTTTGTAAAAACTGTACTTACGACAAACCTTTTGTTTTTGCAGCCAAATCTGCTACAAGAAATTGATACCCAGAAAGTAAGTTGGAATCCGCACAAGCATTGCTTGGCATTTGTATCTGGGAAGAACCAAGTTACAGTTCATGACTTTGAGGAGCCAGGTGAGATCTGCTGAACTTTCTTATGTTGTATTAATAAGATAGATATGATGAACTGAAGCATGATGGCTATATGAACATTTATCCTTGTATTTAATGAACTGAAGTATGTTTCTCAACTCAGCTAAAGCCAACAACTAATCATTTGTATTCTCTGAACAGATAATAAAGAATCCTACATTCTAACAAGTGACCATCAAAAGGATGTTAAAGCTGTTGAATGGAGGCCAAATAGTGGAAAGATGATTGCAGTTGGGTGCAAGTATGTCCTACTGCCACCATATACTAGAGCACTATTAAAGATTTGTTTTGATATTCTTTTCATGTCATAATACCTGGTGGCACAATCTACTATTAGGTTAACTTATTATTATTATTATTATTATTATTATTATTATTATTATTATTATTATTATTATTTTCAGGGGAGGGATATGCCTCTGGTCAGCATCATATCCTGGCAACGTTGCATCTGTGAAATCTGGTGTCACCTCTTCTTCCTTTGGTGCCTTTCCTAGAGGTTCTGGTGGTCAATGGATACTCGTGGACATTCTCCGTGGTTCTTCTGCTGAGCTAGTTAGCGCACTTTGTTGGAAACCTGATGGAAGATATCCTTTATAAGTTTTCAGTGTAGCATTTAATCATTGGTATCATTGATTTCCATCTCTGTTATTTGAAAAATAAAGAAATGTAACCTAAAACAAATAATATGTCTTCATTTGCAAACACAAAAATTACCAGTGACTCTAGACAATTTTCCTTGACACATATCTCCACATACTTGGTGTCCGCCTCTTGTAATAGCCCATCATTCACAATTTGGGACGTTTCTCAAGGTATATAAATGTCATCAGAATGCAGATACCTAGTTCCATCTTACACAGAACTGCATACTAATATCTGTGGATTTTCTTCCATTTCAGGGTTGGGAATGCCTATAAGACGTGGATTAAGTAGTATATCATTAGTGCAGTGGTCACCTAGTGGAGATTACCTTTTAACTGCTAAGCTGTATGAACTTCAACTTTAGTTATTTTCATTACTCATAGCATTTGAGGATTTATATAGTTTACTTTTTTTAATTAGTGATGGAACTTTTCACTTATGGGAAACAAATACATGGACGTCAGAACCATGGTCTTCATCTAATGGATATGTATCTGTAAGTAGTATTCATTCTTAAATAAGTACTGTTCAACATTTAACATTGTTATTTACCATGTCACAAGGAATGGATTCTTAATAAGTCATGAAATGAAAGGGCAAATGCTTTGCATGTTATGGGCGATTGGGTTGTGTTTTAACATAAGAAATTGTTATCTCAGATCTATTGGAAAATGATGTTGTGTATATACATGTATTTATCTTGAAAACTAGTATATTTAGCATGATTATGAAGATTGATAAAGCATATTACCTTATTTAACAAGTGATTTCAAGCAATATATGTTGAAAGCATGCCTGTATCAAGCTTCTGAACTTGGGTTTTATTTTGTATTTATAACTACCTTTCAGTACCTTTTTATTTTTTAATGTATTGTCATTTCAACATCTGATCATTATGATTCTTTTGGCATCTAGAATAAAAAATATACCTACAATTTTGTTTGCCAACAAGGGTAATTGCTTGTTCAACAGTTGATTTTTGCTTCAGTTTACTTTATAAATTGTAAATATTACATAAAGCTCATTTTCATTTGAACCTCCCCAAGAATATACATAAGATCAGTTTTACAGAAAATGTATCTCATTCACTTGTAATATGTATGTTACCCCCCTTAAACCAGTATTTTGAATTAAATATGGGTGTTGTGACTAGTTCTGGAGTTATGATGTTTTATGCTTTTATCTTGCTTGCATACTAGGGAGCAAATTGGGATCCAGAAGGCCGTATTGTGTTATTGTCCTTTTCTAACTCAACAACACTGGGCTCAATTCACTTCTCATCAAAACCACCATCTTTAGGTATGCACAGCTACCCTCATCTCACTACAACATTTTTATGTGAAGTTATGCCGTTATGTTTATTGTCTGTATCCTGAACATTATGTTGTGTTCATTGACTTCAGATGCCCATCTCCTACCAGTCGAACATCCTGAAATTTCCTCTCTGATTGTCAGGTAACAACAGTTGGCCTACCATTCTATACCCCTGACCTCATGTGCACCTGATGGAACATATTTTGCTTCTGTCTTAAATGCTAACTTTAACTGATGATATTTTGACTAACCACATTTGCAACTGGTTCGGAAGTCATTCATGGTATGTTTTTAAAGAAATCACTCATAGTATGTAACTTATGATTATTAGCAAACTAAGTAAAGGCAAGTTCTCCCTAATCAATGTTAGCGCCTCAACCATTTTTTTTCTTCAAAATAATATATTTAGATCTGGCTTGTAAAAAGTCTGGCTCTTGCCATCATTTAGTATATACTCAGATGCTTTCATTTAGGATAAACCTTACATAAACAAAGGTTCATCACTTCATCCATGACAGTCTAGAAAAGTAACTTCTTGTCCACTCCATATACTTATTTATGCTTTCTCTGGTTCATCTAGCCGAGGCATAGATAAATTAGCATGGGATTCTTCAGGAGAGCGCTTGGCATTATCGTTCAAAGATGGCAATGAAATGTATCATGGCCTTGTTGCTGTCTATGATGTGAGGAGATCTCCACTTGTCTCAGTTTTACTAGTGTAAGTACAGCCCTCTAACTTACCATATTATCTTGGTCATGAACATTGTATCTCGATAGTTTTGGACCATTGTCTGATGAAGTTCCAATGTGCATATCTAGTGGATTCATTAGAGGACCTGGAGAAGGAGCAAAGCCACTTGCATTTGCCTTCCATAGCAAATTTAAGCAAGGACCATTGCTTTCTGTGGTATGAGATCATCAAAAGTTTTGAGCCTATTAGTTAGTAAATGATAATTGTGGTTGCTCACATTGTTGTCCAACTGTTCATGCAGTGCTGGAGCAGTGGCTGGTGTTGTACGTATCCCCTCATACTTCGCCCGCATTGACTCCCTAAAAGGAGGTAAATCTCTTCGGCTAAAAGTCTTGTACTTTAGTGGCATGATATCAGCTATGTTTATTAATCTGAAGTTCATTTTCCTTTTTTGTCCAGTAAGTAAGGTCAAGAGATGATTGGCATGCTATTGAATTATCTTTTCAGAGAGATGCATTCTCTAGGTGCCTCAAAAATGCTGCTATGATTGTTATCCTCTTGTATGTAAAATTCTTCTCTCTGGAAGCGGTGCTATTCAATGGAGGCAAAAATAGAAAAAAAAATTCTGAAATGTATTTGGTAGCATTACAAATGTCTGTATTATACTTATTTGGAGGGGGAAATGTATTGTCTGCGCTTGTGTTTATGCAGTTCCCCAAAGCAAGGACACCATTGTCTTACCATGTGTCCTTTTAGTGCATGATTACTGTTCATTAATTGGCTGCACTATTGCATGGTAAGAAACCTTGAATGAAAGGTTTAATCAGTTTCAATTGGACTTGTGTTTGAGATATCACAGGTATGTTCTGCTGCATCAAATGAAATGTCAACCTTATCACTTGGTATGACTGAAACGCAAGGTAAACATGCAGAATAAGTATGAATGAAATATAGTTCAAGACATTTCTCATCCACCCTTCATTTTTCCCCTCCTGTTTGCTGATTCAGATTAGCTAGGAATCCATTCAAGCTGAGTAGCCGGAGCTTAGTGTGATCAAAGGGATAGCTTATTGACAATGATATTAATTAGCGTTACCGCTAGGTTCGATAATGTGACAACCTTAAACTACTCTTACAGCGTCATAAACAACAGGGTCACACGAAGTGTGATTAGCAAATGCCAGAATGCAGTATATACACTCTGTTAGCTTTCTGAAATTCAGGTACCACACCTCACGTAATCATCCTGTGTTCTATTCTCTGGTATAAGTGTGCATCATTGCTTCACATCTCTGCCACGAGCTTGCTGTACTGATCTAGAGCGAGGTCAAATGAAGTGAATGAATAAGGAGAGAGCGCTGCTTCCATCTCTTCTGAAGCATCTGGCAGCTCGCTTTTAACCGGTACGACCTGCATCCATCGTTCACAAGATACTTGTACGTTAGATGAACTCGCCAACACCTGAGAATATCGTGTGCCACACTGAGATTGACCCTGTCTGCGAAAAAATTATCGAGAAAGACTAGAGAATAATTCCAGACAGCTAAATAAACAATTTCTTAAAAGCTTACAAATAAAGCTGAAAGACAGAGTTTGCTTACGACATACGGCTTGCATATGTGTGCATTCTATAAAGTTGTAATGGTAAACTTACCCTCTGCTAAATTCACTAATTCAGTGCATAGTTATGAAACAAATAACTTGTGATCCAACCAATGGTTGTCTTACTTTGTTTGGTTCAGCAAATGAATTTTCATCCAGCAAATTGCCGGATGTGAGAACAGTCACAGTTGATTTTGCCGTATTGACGCCAGCTTGAAGTCCTCTTGAAGATATTGCGAGGTTAACAGCATTTGGCCCAAAGTTTACTATCTGCAGAAGATCTTTTGAAGATGAATATATCTTCTAAAATCCAAACAGATGTGCAAGTATGCAGTGGCTCAATCAGTTTTATATCGCTTTATATTGTTGTAACTAAATCATTCAAAACATTTAGGTAATTCGCTAATGAATTGCTGCAATGGTATGCAAGTTAGGAAAAAAATGGAATGGTTAACTACCTTTATTCTCAGAAAGATATCATGTGTGTCTTTCCAGGTGATTGCAGATGCAGCCAGTGAATCGGAGTAGCTGGAACCGATCGTAATTGGATGAATCACAGAACCACTTGATTCACGGAAATATGTTTGCATCCAATAACTAGGAGTGCCATACTGTTGCCAGGAATTGAATACAATTGCATCTGGGTTCCAGCTGATCATCACATTCAGAGCTAGTCAAACTCAAGCACTTGTGAACAAGAAGAATGTTAGAAAATAAAAAAGGCAAAGCCAAAGGTACTAACGTGCGGTCATTGTCATTTACGAAGAGCGGTGCATAGCTTGCCATCTGAACAAGATCACTGCAAAGAAACATGACAGAAACTTTTAATTTATTCATGATGGAGAGTATTTTTGCTGCTCAGTATTAGTATTTACAACATGTGTACATGTTATCTTGTAATTTCTGAAAAACAAACTTTTATCCCCTCAATTCAAATTTAATTATCTAAACAGGGTCATAAACTAGTAATTATTCATGACAATATTGACATTTATCCTGGAAAAGTCATGGATGATCTAAATACAGCCGCATGCATGATTCAGCATTTCAGCTAGCCCAAGAATATGGAGAGAGAGATTATTCAAGGAAAGTATGAAGTGAAGGAGATCACCTATTTTTCTCTAACCCAGTAAGGAAAGCAGCCTCAGCCAGTGAAGCAAGAAGGCTTCCTTTACCAGCATCCCTTTGTTCATTGACAGCATACTCACTGACAAATACCTGGAATAAGATTATAGCATAGTCATTAATGACTACTTTCTGTGTATCCAATATCCTAGGATGTCGAGATGCAAGAGAACTGTAATGGTACAGAGAAACAAAGCCTTCCAGAGTGTTGTGACAGTTGACACTACAACACCATTGATTGAATTTGCACGTATAAAATTATGACTTCAATATAATTTCTAAAGAAACTTAAATAAATGAAGAAACCAACTTCAGGTAGAATAATATGGAAGAAACAATGTCCTAAAAATATTCTACCAAAATTAGGAAGATAGGCCTATTTAAGGCCAACCTTTATATCAGTATTTTAAGGATATATCTATTGCCAGAATAAATCACAAAAACAAAGGTCATGTTTTGGATGGACCATGATGGCCAGAAATCCCAGAGACCCATACTATCCAAATAAGGATTAAAAAATACCTTAGACCCAATGCGTGATGTCCTATCAAACTTATTCTTCATGATAAAAAGATTAGCAGCACTGGTATAGACCTGAAAAAAATGTCAGAATGCATCTTAATGAAAACACAATGAGAAGTATGTCGAAATCATGAAACAGTATTTAAAAAGTGAAAATGGAGAATATTTTCTGATGAAAGAAGATTACATGGAAATCGTATAAATCAGCAGGATGATCAAGTGGCCTAGATGATCCATCACAGTTTGAAATCATTTGAATATCCGGATAGGCCTTGCGTATAGCATCATAAAACTTGAGGTAATTTCCTGTACAATAGGATTGAAAACCGTCATGGCTCTCTAGTACTTTCATGAAATTAGTGAAGGCTATAGTAACTCTGAAGGTTATGAGCAATTATAACTTCATGTGCAAAGAAAATGTATCCTCGGAAACTGGTACAATAAATGGCTAAAAGTTACATACATTCTATTTTCATCTATTATTTATTACAAATGTTTATATTTTTATTATGCTTATTTGTAAGGGTGAAATTATTTTTTCATAACTGTAGTTGACTCCAAGTAATGATGGCATACAAACAAAGAAAAAGGGGAACGAAGAAGGAAAATAAGCGGTTTTAGATATGCAGACATAAATGATAAGAGATTTTGTGTTAATTATACTTGGCCATCACATCATTTTAGCCTATAGATGTGTCTATTGAAAACTAATGAGAACAACTATGGCATTGACAACAAATGGGATCATTAGCATGACAAGCTCTGGTTAATAAAAATATACCTCGGTAAAATCCCTTGTCACAATCTTCATTTCCAATAGCAACATACTTCAGTGGGAACCGTTCTGGATGCCCCATTGCAGCTCTAACAGAACCCCATGTCGATTCTGCTCTCCCCCTTGCAAATTCAAGACTATCCAATACATCCTATAATAAGAAAAAAAAACTTGAAACAATGGCATATGCATAGAACAACATTTTGTTTTGCAATGATGGCATCTGCAATAAGGAAAAATGGAACCGTAGTAACCCTCTACCCAGTTATATTTGGATGACTATTCTTACTTGGGCATTTAACGTACCTTAACAAAAGGTTCAATTATGGTGGTATCGACTTCATCATGGTGGCTGATCCCTAAATTTCAAGATAAAAACTGTAAGCAGTTAATGGGCATGCTAGCGATAAGAAAACATATGGTAAAACAAGAAAAATATAAATAAGAATAATGTATTACCAACATTGAACACCCAAATAGGGGCAGCACCCAGGTCTTCAGAAAGCTTTCCATGAAAATTTCGGTAGAAATATTTCGTTAGATATGTTGATAGCAGAAGAGATGAAAAAAAAACACTCAGATGGCATTAACTAACATACACCTGGAGAAACTCGTAATATCCTAGGCCATCATCGGTCCAATAATTCCAAACATCTCCAAAGTGCCCAGGTCTCTGTTCCCAGGGACCAATAGTTTCCCTCCACCTGAAAGCATTTCTTAACCAATCGCCTTCAACAAAGCACCCCCCTATCAAAAGTGTCATATAAAGTTTTTGATTGAGACATATATGGACTTGTTCAGAAGTTAGTTACTACAAGTTATCACTATCTAGGATATTATGGAAATCATATGCAAATATAGGTAAATCTATAACTGTTAGGGACAAACAGACGAACAGTTATCTATATGTTATGTTATCTAAAAATTATATGTATATATGTCTAACATGCTGTTTTGTACTAATTCAACTTTTTAATGCTTTACTCTAGAGTCTTGATTATTAATGCTTGTTCCTATCCCAGCAATGATTTAGATTAACATCACAAAGTAAAATACAATGTATTTCTGTTATATTATGATAGCAAGTCCTTATTAATTCCTCTGGCAGACATCATAAAGTGCACGTTTGATTTATTTTTAGTTACCTGGATATTAGTTTTTTTTTCCTAATTCTAGTTAGAATATGACCTCGAATTTTTTAAAAAGGAATATAGGGTTGAAGTTTAACGAGAAATAACTGGATATAATACAGTGATCGTAAATATGCGAAAAACCAAGGCATATGTTCAAAGCCCCTAATAGTTTATTTTGGTTAGGGAACAAGAAATACCAGGAAAGCGTAGGAACTGTGGTTTTAATTCCAAAAGCATGTATAGTAGTTCCTTGCGAAAGCCATGGCCCTGTACATATAGCAGAAAATGCCCATTAACAAATATTGCTAGAAAATTCCCATTAAAAAATGTTGTAAACTAATAATCATGGTCTGCCAATAAAGAAAGGAGGGATAGATTTTATTTCCAGTTTTTTTTCAAAATGAATATAAAATTTTATTATGACTTATTAATTAGCAATGAGATTGAACCAACATGTTTGTTATGTACTTATGAATACTTTATAATTCTGCTAGTACACATATCTGCATCTCAAAGCAGTGCATCGTTGCTTTATCTTTTCGAGTATTCTAGTTACTATATTTTCTTCATGAATATTCAGTGGCTGCCCAGTCAAAAAATATATATATATATATATATATATTCAGTGGCTGCTCCCAGAGCAAAGCATGCTTCTATGATGGTCAGTAGCCACTAG